TGCGTGCGGGTGGAGGAGGATGGGGGTGCATGTTTCAGGCAGTTTGCATGGTGAGGATCAGCACTGTGCCTGCTGATGGAGGCTACTCGGCACAGTGTGTGTGACGGAGAGAGAGCAGGATGTGTGGTGGAGAGAACCAGGCCCACCGTATGACTCATGCATGATGACACATTGTGGGTTAAAGGTGAGGGTCCCACTCCAGAGGAACAATTCCCAGGTCATAAATAATAAATGTACGTTTTTAATTTTAACAGGGAATTGTGATTTGGAGAGGGACCGATCCTACTGTGGGAAGTGTGTGTGTGAAGGAATGGTGAGTCTCAGTCCAGGTGTGTGTCCCTGATCACATGCAGGTTCATCGGAGTGGAGAGAGAAGGGGGGGGGGCAACCTGATAAATGAGTTTTTACCTGCCTTGGGGAGAGGGGCCCTGCCTGTTAACCCCCGCACACACACTTTCAGAGCCTGGGAGTCTCGCGTGTGCGCTGTGGCTTTGGCTTCCTCAGAGCGACTAGTTTGGAAGACAAGGACTCACCCTCCTCTTCCTCCTGAGCCTCTTGCTCCTCGGCCGGTGAGCGTGTGCGGTGGAGGCCCCCCGCCCGCTGCTTGGCCCCCTGCTGGGCCTGGTGGGAGTCGGGCGACTGGGTGACCATGCGCGAGCGCTGCAGAGCAGTGGAGTAGTCCGGGGGCCGGCGGCCTGTGTGCGGAGCCGTGGACGCGGGGACAGCTGGCGGGGGGTGCTGCCCGTCAGCCAGGTCAGAGATGGTGAGGGCCGTGTAGCCGGGGGGGGTCGGGGGGGGCTCGCGGTAACGACTCTCTTTCCGTGCTGGAGGGACACAGAAGCAACAATGATGGAACTTAAAAACTGTCTTTACGGGGCAGTTTTTTCCTATTTTAGAAAGTCAGGACAGGTGTTTCTATACTGTAGCTTCATAGGTAATAACAATGTTTTTTTTATTTCAGAGGAAGGCTAAACTGTACTTTATAAACTCTCTGTAACCCTAACAACTTCATATTCCTGTCTGCCTCGACTGGTTGGGTAAATAGTGATAGATAATGACAGGAAATGAGGAGGGATTCAATGGAACAACGGTCTGTGGTACATGGGCATGGTCGGCATATTAAAACCCCCAGGAAACCAGAGGGACAATATGTTCCTGCTCTTTTGCATTCAAATCCACTATGTCTTGATTGAAGGATTTCAACATATTGCCTCCTGGAGGAATTCATGGATTTTTGAAAAATTGAAAAAACAAATAAATCAGCCTGCAAAAATGTTTCCACAATTTAAAACATTGTTCCTTGTTTGTTAAACCAATGCAAAAAAACAAGCTTAGAAATATGTTGTGGTTTTATGGGACACATTGTGCCTTCATGTTGTTTTTACACAGTATTCTCCCGACAGTTTTTGCTGCTAGACTTTCCCTTTCTTCTGTGATAAAAATACTGTGTACTAAAATTGTTTTCCTTCCATTAAAAACTTGACTTATTCAAAGAAGCAGGACTGTTAGGTGCGTCACTCACTCAGCAGTCCCTTCCCCCCGGTGGTGATGGGTGAGGGGGAGGGCCGGCCCAGGTGCTTGGCCTCCTCTGAGCCGGTGGAGGTGATGCTGCTCGTCTCTGCGTCGGCGTTCACGTCCTTCCCCCCCCTCCTCTTGATGGTGCCGGTGTCTCCCTCAGAGTCCTCCCCCCAGTACGCAGCTGAGGAGGAGGAGGAGCTAGCTGAAGCCCAGCTGCCCCTGGCCTGGGCGGCCCACAGAGCAGCGTGCCCCCCTAACAGGGCCTCCGGACCTCCAGGAGGCAGCCCCCCTCCTCCGCCCCCACCGAAGGCCAGAGTCTCCCAGCTGCGGCCCTGCTGCATGGTCTGGATGTTGTCGTGGGAACCCGAGGAGCAGGACGTCCAGGAGCCTCGCCCGCTGTCTGCAGCGTCCAGGGAGACTCGATCGCCCTGATCCTGGGTCAGCTCCTCTGAGCTGGGGGAGGAGAGCACCGTGGGGCAGCCGGAGTAAATGCCCCGACAGTCCTGCATCGATGAATATGACCTGAGAGGGGATACGAATAAAGATAATTACTTAACTTGTAGGGCAGATAAATAAAATGGTTAATAGAGTGCATATTTTTCAGTTTTACAAACACCTCAAACCACCTTTGCATATAAGTCAGCATTCACCCAATCACACAGAAGCAGAGGCTGCCATACAAGGTACTTGCTTAACTGTGTTTCATACAAAATAAAACTCAACTGACTAAAAAGAGTCTAGGAGGAAATCAAGCAGTAAAATGCTATAAATAAAATGTTACACTGACAATCCCAGCAACAGTTACTAAGGGGCCGGGTTTTACAAACTGTTTATTTAAACTAAGAGTAATTGTTACTGTGAAAAACCAAATATAATGTCATGTTCTTGAACGAAAACCTATTCTCGTCCTACCAAAACATTTTTCCTCATCTACTTTCCATTTGTTTTAGCTTTTATAACAAATATCTGAAACTCCGCTGTTATTTTGAACTAAACCTCAAATGAAACTCCTAATGTTCGTACCCGAGGCTGTACTGGTCAGAGTCGGTTGTCGCCCTTCGTTCCAGCCGCTGTCCCACGATGTTGGATTCCCCGACTCCAGAGTGACGGAGCCTCCTCTCGTCCTGCGTCATGTCGAAGGAGGAGTTACTGACGAGGCTGGAGCGAGAGGAGATCTCACTGTGACCGGAGTCCGAGTAGGCGTTGTAACCTGCAGGAGAGGAGAAGGAATAGGAAAGGAATTGTTAAAAAGGTTCAACTTAAAGGTCACCTATTCTGCAAAATCCCCTTGTTCATGTCTCTTCTACATCAACATGTGTCCCCTCTGTGTGAAGAGATTCTGAAAGTTTCAGGAACAAAGATTCTCTCTCTTTTTGTCCTGATCCATTTCTATAAAAACCTGTCTGAAAATGAGCTGATCAGATTTTGGCCACTTTATGATGTCATAACGATTTTTTGGCTTGTGTAACCATTAGCCAATCAGCAACCAAGGTAACCCCCCCCCCCACCTTATCACCTTAATCTCCTCCTAGAGCACCATTGAGTTATTTTTAACCAAACATCTCTCAGAGGGGCGTGGGGAGGGGCTCCTTATTTTCATCTGAAGTAACAGACAGAGAATCAGCACTTTGGAAACAGAGGGGATCATGGGTAATGCTTCAATGATCTGTTTGGTGTTTGGAGCCAAACACTTCAGAGCCAAACACTTCAGAGACATGTTTGTATATATCTGAGACTTTTAATATATTGATGAAAAACAGTATAATAGGGGAGTTTTAACATATGTGCTTTAGTCTGTTTGATTTGCCTTTGTTGCAAAAAGTAGCATGAAATACTTCCATTTTGTTCTAAATAAAAGTACAATAAAGCCCTCTCATAAATGCTGACTGGGTCTCATTCCAACACAAAGCTCCAAACATTAAACTAACTTATGGTGGATCAACTGTTTTTCATCTGTCATCATAATTCATCTTTAATTCACATATCTTGTCTCAGTCAGTGTTTTGAAACAAGCCATCACACAGACTGCAGGGTAATTGTAGAGTTCAATTTTCCAAGTAAGCCAAGCAGCTCTTTAGGGAAAAGTGCTGAAGAGTGTGGAAAAGTTTAGAAAATAAGCGTGAAGGGAACTACATAATAAAGTCTGGAAAAATATAAGGAAATCACTGGTTATGATCGCTGACACATGTAAAGACATATTTTCAAGTTATAGACAACTGTTACTGTGGAATGTGTTGTATTCCTTCGCCTCCATCAGCATGAATGACCTCAATCACCTCCCCACTCCTGTCTGAATGACTGAGTCTGACCAAAAAAAGAACGTCTTAATTATAATTTTTAGGAAGTCTTAATTGTAATGATGTGGCTCCAACATGAGTCACCACATACAAATCAAACTCAGACTGTAGAGGGGACATACACTCACATGAGGAAACAGTTTCTAAGATAATGTAGGAACCAGTTACAGATCAGAAAGTTCTCAAAGCATCCAAGCTTCTTCGAGAGTTGGTTTCATCAAGAACAAGTTACATGTTGAATGCTTACCACTCTTTTTGCAGCAGAGCACTATGTACCTTTCTTGTTTTTTATGTATGGTATTCAAACATCAATATGTTTAGGTTATCGGACTTCATAACTGTCTGCATTTGGCACTTTAAAGTATATTGTATAGGTTTTTCATTTGTTAGTCAGCTGGATTACAGAAACACTACTGGGCCGATTTCAAGACAGTCAAGAAATAATTTATTTCAGAGTGGATTCAAATCACAAACTGCATACAGGAAATATTTGTTTTACTTTGTGGAAATAATTTTCACATAGCGACATTATAGTTTACATGATACTCTTATTGTTAACCTGCTTTGTTCAACTTTCCCTATCTGTCCGGTATCATGAGCTAACGAAGACACATTTCTAGTAAAAATAGTGGGATGTCGAAGAGGCTGTTACAAATGCTGTTTAAAGTATAACCAGTTATTGCCAACAATGTGGCTGTTGCCTTAAACCTAGCACTGTTTACAGTTGACTGCTTTACAACTTAAAACACAGGTATTAAGGCTTATAATAGTGTTACCTACATTCACTCAAACATCCTGACTAGTTTGTAGTGCTGCAGCCTATACACATGGCTGCAGTGGTTTCAAGTGGGATGAAATATTTCAGACTGAGTCCTACTGCCCAACACACCATCTGAAACATGTTGCAGTGCATACTGACAACCACCAGGTGGCATGTGTGGCCCATGGTGACAGAAAGAAGGATCATGAAGAGGGTGTGGGGGGGAGGGGGGAAGGATTATTGGCTTACCCTTCTTGGGTGAGCTTTGTGGGGAGGTGGGAGGGGAGGAGAGCTGGGAGGAGGCGTTGGACACGGTGTCCTCTGGCTGCCTCCGGTGCCTTTCGTTCCCCTCCTCCGACAGAGACAGGATCTTCTTCAGAGACTGAGGGGAGCTGGTGCCTGTGGATATTTACAAGAAGATGAGCAGAATTAGTACGAGGAGCTCTGCCATTCCCCGCAGCGAGCCGCCCGACTGCATTGTCTGGGACTTTTTTTGTATTAGCTGTTTTTGGTCAGACAGCCTCTAGGTGGCAGCACTGTCGTAAAGAAGCTGGTTCTGCTGTTGTCTGCAAATCACAGGATGAGGGAGAGGAAACTGAGCAATGGTGGCACATACAAGGACAAGGGAACATGAGGTTTCTAAAGGCTTACACCACAATACTACCAAACATTATTATATAAGAGAATAAGCTGTATTTATAGTTGTATTAATTTGGTCTTGGAATGACCTTCAATCATGCCTTAAACTGACGGCACTTGTTCCTATAGCATGTTTTAAATTGAAGTTGTCTGAGGTCCTTACCACCAGCTGCTCTTGCAGTAATACGTAGTACCTTTCATACTGTCCCAAATGTGCACAATGTAGTGACTGCTTTTTTTGTTTTGTTTTTTTCTTCGTTTTTTTATATGTCTGTGTAAGAACGTGTAACATTGCTGCCTTCTTGGCCAGGTCAGCATTGTACATGAGATTTTAAGCTTTTTATCTGGTTAAATAAAATAAAATAATTCAATAACATTAGGTGAGATATTAGCTAAATGATGGGACACGACACGTGACAGGTCCCTACAATAGAAATATAAGTATTAACTCGGTGTGGCTTGTAGCACCGTCCTTGATGGAGCATATGTGTTGGCTGGACCTGTATTTTACAGGAAAGGAGTGAGCAGAGGGTCGAGTTGTCGATTCTTGTTCTGTTTTCTGTGACTATCTGCCTCACCCTCTCAGACTTTGAGTTGCGCGCGCTACTAAAGAGACGCGCTACCATGGAAACCAAACAATGGTGTAGCTGTATTAAAGTCTGAGTGGAAACAGTCGTGAGTAAATCTGATTTTGTCAGAAATCAGGAGAAATGCGGGAGAAATTCCTGATTTCTGACAAAATCAGATTTACTCACGACTGTTTCCACTCAGACTTTAATACAGCTACACCATTGTTTGGTTTCCATGNCGGTTTTTGAAATGCTCCCGATTTCTGGGGTCTCAAGGTTGGCAAGTATGACCTACTGTATACCTAAATCTTTGAAGCAACTACATATACTTATATTAAATACTTATATTTCTATTGTAGGGACCTGTCACGTGTCGTGTCCCATCATTTAGCTAATATCTCACCTAATGTTATTGAATTATTTTATTTTATTTAACCAGATAAAAAGCATTGAGATAAAATCTCATGTACAATGCTGACCTGGCCAAGAAGGCACCAATGTTACACGTTCTCACNGCGCTACCATGGAAACCAAACAATGGTGTAGCTGTATTAAAGTCTGAGTGGAAACAGTCGTGAGTAAATCTGATTTTGTCAGAAATCAGGAGAAATGCGGGAGAAATATGACCCCGGGAGGAAACCGGGAGAGGGCAATGAAATCGGGAGTGTCCCGCAAAAATCGGGAGGGTTGGCAAGTATGTAGTAGGTACACATTCAAAATGTATTTTTGTACACCGGGCTTCATAAAGATTGACATCCACTTACCAAAAGGCGGCAGATCCTTGACTGGCACTTTCTTCCGGGATGGGTAGAGGGCCACGGCGGGGACCTGCAGGGCCTGGCCCCCCTTGGCCAGCTGGCCCCTCTGTTGGCTGGCCGCTCGGCACACCACCGGGGAAGTATCTGGTCGTTTCCCACCGGCGTTCTTGGGCACTGGGTAGCGGAAAAAAGAAAGAGCAAATCCCCATTGCACAGTTAGAATTAGAAT